AATTGCAGTATCAAAGACCTGAGGATGACCCGGATTATATTCCTATCGAGCAGGCGGTAATAACTGAATCCCGTCCAAATATATATATGGAATTATTAACGTTCCCCGTCCTAGCGGTCTAATGACTTAACCGTGCAGATGGTTACCCGTCGTCGGTCGAAACGAAATGCCGGCAGGGCTGAACCTGAGTCGGACACAACGACCTCAGGACCACAGCCAACGGACACAACGACGAGTGGGGAAGCTTGTGCAAAGAAAAAACGTGGCAAGAGGAGCAGGAACCTGATGCCGAAGGAGACGTACTACATTGCTGCTCTCAACGATGATGGCAAACCCGTCGAGCTGCAACATGTGAGGGCGAAGTTTAGCACCGCATGCGGTTCGCTGGCAAGACTTCATGTGGCTCTCAACGTGGACGACTGGAAGCACGTTAGCATACACATCAAGAACTTAATGTGGGAAGGTCTGCAGGAGCACTTATTTATCCCCCTGGGTCAGAGGCACTTGGTTGGAAATTTGCACTGCAAACAATTGCCCATCGCTGGCGATAGTGGAAGTCGGACATGAACACTCATTATGTTCAGAAGAATAAGACTCCATTTGAAGAATGGGGCACCATTTCGGCAGTCGAGTGGGACAAGTTTGTGCCCAAGATGACAACGCCTGAAGCTCTAGAAAGGAGGAAGAAGATGTCAGACCTGGCGAAGAAGAACATATATCCACACAGGTTAGGGTCAAGTGGATACGCCGGTCACGAGAAGAAATGGCGAGCTACGGAGGATAAGTTTGCGACCGAAGGCAAACCTTTGATTGTGCAACCCCTAAATAAGCGAACTAGAAATTGGGTGTAGGCAAGAACTTCGGGCCAAGTGACAGAAGAGGATGAGATGCCGTTGGATTGTCCTGACATACAGAACATGACCACGTCTCTCCAACAGATCGTCCAGAAGGAGAAGATCGGGGAGTTCATCCCTCGACGGCAGCATGATGAGCTAACCGAAGCTTTGGGAACTACAGAACACTCCGGTAGGGTTAGAGGACAGTCGTGCAGGACGAATTGGAAGGTAGGGTTTCCACAGGAAGCCCAAAGTTACAAGAAGCGCGATGCCTATAAGGCCAAGATGCGCCAGGAAATCATAGATTAAGTCACACAACAAGTCACCCAACAGTTCTATAGTCTTGCCACACAACATCCTCAAGCCTTCCCTGACCTGGTTCCTCAGGGATCGCAGTCGACGCAGATCCCAAGCTCTGTCGGGTCGGTAGAAAATACAACCTACCCAGTAGATAGTATAACTGCTCCGACACCATGCAGCCTTGTGGTTCTGATAGGGAGAGCGGGAAAAACAAAGGAGGTTGTGTCCGGATTAGCGATACCGGGTAGACAGTTCCATAACAGCCCAATTCCGGCGGACTACGCAAGGGTTCAGGTGGCACGTGTTAATGGCGACCAGATGTCGTTGGAGCTTGACATCGTAACACCAGAGGGGATTGAACTTCTCGGGGATGCGGTTCACCAGTTCATACTTTGGCATCGTCAAGACATCATCCTCACTGGACAGTTCACGTCGACGACCCCAGCTCCATTGGTGCCAAATACGGCTGCACCTCTTGCACCGCCGTCCCCTCTGATCTGCACTACCCCACCCGGATCTCCACTCCCACAAATATCACCACTTAGAGGTCCTTCTCCACCTCCACAACAAGCCGCACCTAACTCTCCAACTTCTCTACCTCGGCAGCCGTCTCCTGCTCTGCAGTCGTATCTTGCTCCACCCCTTGACGAATATGTGCCACCTCCGCAGCTAGATACATCAAAGGAGTAGCCAACTACCTGTGAAGCCCACAAGCTCATACCCGTTATGGTTTCCACGTACAACAAGGAGAAAATGGCAGAGTATGAGACGCGGATGATTTTGCAGTCTTTCAAGGGTCGAGGGGGTTTGCTAAAGCCAGTTGGACCTGATCAGTATTCGGACGCACGAAGAGCGTTGTAGGTCTCGCTGACAAAATACAATGTTAGACCTCCGATGAAGTGCCAAAGGAGTATGAATATGGCAAGCCGTTCTTGCCGTACAACTTGATGTGTGAATTCGCATGGCCAACGAGGTTGATGCATGACTGGTACTTGAGGGCAAGTGAGTTAGGTCTCGGGATGATTACTGTGCATGTTCTGGAAGGCGCTTTCAAGGATGGACCTAACGCAAACTTCGCCATCAGTTTCAAGGACCTCCACGCTTTCTTTAAGATGGATAAAATGGATATCAATTTCGTCGGCGCGTGGTGCCTGTAAGCATTCCATGTACTTCATTGTTACCCAATCTGTGCCAATATAAATGTTACTTGTTCTAACTTCCGAATTTCCTCAGGTCACAATGAGTAGATGTTCAAAGAATGGGGGCATCAATCGGTTATGTAAATCCAACGACGGTTTGCGAGACGGCCCACACTGTGCGGATATCGGAGGATAGTGCGGTACTAAAGAATAAGACACCTCAGGAGAAAAAAGATTACATCGAGCGTATGCATAAGAGAAAAATGGCCGAGGTGGGAAATTACTTGGCCACCTCATTTCTCGCACACTCCGACAAACGAGTCATCATAGTCCCCTACCACTTTGGGTAAGCAACTTTGACATCTTTCCGTTCACATATTAATAACCACGCATGAAAATATGTCTTACGTAATTTCATAATCCGTGTTCGCAGCGAGCACTACATACTATTCCTCGTCTATCCAACGGACCAAACCGTCGTAGTTCTTGATCTGGCAGACTATGACAAGGACGCATACACGGAGTTCCTATGCTTGCTGAACTTGTAAGTTCGAAACAATTTCCGTAAAGATTCCAACATTCTGTAAAGATCATTAAAGTAGATTTATCATAATTAATTAATTTATTTTTGTAGATCACACGGCCGTTATAAGAAACGTGGCGGGTATGTAAAGAATCCAAGTAGAGAGAACTGTACATAAGGGGACGCTGGCCGGTATGTTAGCATTTATTCGGTACGTACATCACGATTGTCACTTCTTACTTCTGACGTGTCCACTTGTGTATGCAGTGTTATAAGCAATCTAGCTTGACGAACCTATGTGGTTATTACGTGTGTGTGTGATGCTCAGGGTCAGTGGGAGATACAGAACTGAGTTTACAGATGTAAGTCATCATGCTCCTTAGATATTGCAAATAGTTCATTAAACTTGATTGTAACACAAATCATTTGTCTTTTACTTTCCATAGCTCCCGAGCATCCATTATAGCGCAAGCCGGTTCAATTAGAAAACGCTTATCAACTTGTGCGCGGACTTGTGCCGGTTCATTTGTCGCGACATCTGCAATCATCTAGGATAGTTCCACGATCCTCATAGCGAACTTACTACGGACCCCAAATTCAAGAACCTAACAGAGTGGGAGAGGGAACATGTTGTGGACTAAAAGGTTTATTTGTCGCGAGGGATACTTGTAATATTAGAAACACTATACTTTCTATGTAGTTTGATTTAATTTGATGTTTGTAACTGAGCTCGCTCAATTTCGGCTATTTTTCCATCTATTGTCCTGTGATGTCAAATTATACCGACAGCACGGGATAATAGGTTATCCCAGACGGCTAGCACGTGCTAGGGTGACGGCACGAATTATCCCGTGCGGTCGCCCTAGCACGTGCTAGCTGTGGGGGCTAACCTATTATCCCATGCGGTCGGTATAATTTGACCGCACGGGATAATCGATTATCCCGTGCGGTCGTCCCCGTGCGGTCGGCCTTATTGCACCGTGCGGTCCGTATAACACGACCGCACGGGATAATCGATTATCCCGTGTGGTCGGCCCGCCCGCACGCGAAAATAATGATTTTACCAGACGAGGAGTTGCAGGCGGACCAGGCCGACCGCACGAGATAATCTATCCAACTGCCCGGAAAAATGGGTATTGTAGTAGTGTCTATAGAGATGAAATCCCTGCCTCCTGGCATATGTTTGAATTC